ACGTTTGTGTGTACGTGTTTGTGCGCGTGTGTGTGAGTTACGTTAACAACGACAGTACTGCGTGTAATTTTTTTTTAGTTAATTTTTCTTGAGTTTTTATAATTTTCTCTTTTCTGAATATGTACAAAATCGAATAATGTCAAAATAATTTTTGTCCCGAAAAAAAAAATATATAAGAAGACAAGTAAAATCAAATAAAAATATAAAACGAGGCATCTTGTCAGATGTTCTTAACAAAACTTGTATAAACGAGGGATTGCTCCCCAAATACACAATTATATATATATATATATATATATATATATATATATATATATTACTCCCCAAATACACAATTATATATATATATATATATATATATATATATATATATATATATATATATTGCTCCCCAAATACACAATTATATATATATATATATATATATATATATATATGAGAGTGTGTGTTCTACACATTTGTTCTTTCTTTCTGTAAAGGTGTGAGAACATATCGTTGAGAAGCCATATTTTTTTAGCATTACTTGGCGCGTTGATATCCGTATATGAACGTGTAAGCGTATGAAAGAGTCAGTTGTGTATGAGAAAGGAATTGAGTCATCAGTAGGCACTTCACACGTGGAATCGCTCCGAAATTAGCGGCTAATTTCGCCGCCACATATTTTAGAACCGATTTCATTTCGGCTTTTCTCTGTCGCTGACGGGAGTCGGACAAGCATTGCATCTGCCGTATTCTTTGTTCTCGGGATAAAAAGAACCAGCGCCCAATCTTCTGCAACTGTTTCTGTTTAATTAATCCCAAAAGATTTCTTCTCTCATTCCTTCTTTGATTTCTTTCTTTCTTTCTTGTGTTCTTCATTGTTTGTCTCTTTATTTCTTTTTGATTTGATTTTTTTTTTATTTCATTCACACTTACTTTCTTTAATTTCTCTCTGTTTTAACTTTATTCTTTTTATCTTTGTCTTTATACTTCATTCTTTTCTTTCTTTCTTTCTTCGCTTTCTTTATTCTTTTCTTCTATTCTTTTTTCGCTTGTTTTCTTTTCTCATTCATTAAACAGAGTTTATCCAGTGTACGTTCGTTTTTGGTTCTCTCTTTCTTTACAATGAATGATTTATCTGCATCGTCTTTCATTCATTCATTCATTCATTCGTTCATTCATTCATTCGTTCATTCATTCGTTCATTTGTTCATTCAATCATTCATTCATTCGTTCATTCGTTCATTCATTCATTCATTCGTTCATTCATTCGTTGATTCGTTCATTCATTCATTCATTCATTCGTTCATTCATTCATTCATTCGTTCATTCATTCGTTCGTTCATCCTTTATTCTTTCATTCTTTTAAACTGAAAAGTTTATTTCTTTCTTTCCATATTTTTTTTTTACTTTTAAGTTAAACGTAATTTTCCCATTTTCTTTTTAGCTTTTTCTTTTTAAAATTATTTTAAACTTTTTTTCTTTCGTTTTCTTTTTCAAAATTTGATCATTTTTTTCTTATTGTCACTTTTTCTTTTCCTTTTGAATTAAAATCATTTTATTTTATTCATTCATTCTTTCTTTCTTTCATTCTTTAATTATTTGTTTCATTCTTTTTTACATTTTCTTTTTCAATCTTTGATAATTTCATTTATTGTTCTTTCCCTTATAAACAGAAAGCAATTTCTTTTCATTTTTCTTTCTTTCTTTCTTTCTTGCATTAATCTTTTCTTTTTTTGGATCTTTCTTTTCTTTCGCTTCTCTTTTACTCTTTTAGTTTGTGATATTTTCCTTTATTCGTTTTTCTTTTCCTTATAAACAGAAAACCTTTGCCTTTCCTTCCTTTCTTTTTTCTTTCTTTATTTTCTTTTTCTATTCTTTCTTTCTTTCTTGCATTAATTCCTTCTTTGCTTGATTCTTTCTTTCTTTCACTTCTTTCCCCCCCCTTTCTGATTGAGATAATTTCTCGTATTCGTTTTTCTTTTCTTTATAAAATGAAAACATTTCTTTCTTTCTTTCTTTCTTTCTTTCTTTCTTTCTTTCTTTCTATTCCATTTCTAGTTTTTTTCTCTTTCAGACTCTGATAATATATGCCATTGTCCTTTATTTTTAGCCTTATAAATTGAAAGCATTTTTCATTCATTCATTAATTCGTTCTTTCTTTCTTTTTTTTAAATTGGACTTTTTTTCGTTGTTCTTTGTTCTTATTCTTTTAAACAGAGCTCATTCTCGCTTTCTCTCTCTCTCTCTTTCTCTCTCTCTCTTTCTCGCTTTCTCTCTCTCTCTCTCTTTATCTCTCTCTCTTTCTCGCTTTCTCTCTTTCTCGCTTTCTCTCTCTCTTTTTCTCTCTTTTTCTCTCTCTCTCTCTCGTTTTCACATCCATACCTCATGTCTTTCTTTCATTGCCCGCCGCCCACTGTGCAGATCCGATTCAGTTCAGTTTCTTCTTCTTTATTTTTTTTTATTTTTCAGACCGAATCGGCAGATGTCCTGTCCAAAAGACAAGAACCTGCTTCTTTGACTCCGAATACTTTTTTTGTCTACTCCGAAGGCGAAAAACAAATTCTTGCAGACTTAAGTAGCATAAGAAAAAGAGAGAGAAAGAGAGAGAAAGGGAAGGAAGGAGGGAGAGAAAGTGAGAGTCAACGCCAATGGTAAAAGTTAAATCCTCCATTTATGCATTTACGCGCGCGCGCGCGCGCACACACACACACACACACACACACTCAAAAATGACATTGACATCTATATTTACATACCTACATTTCTGGTTGTTTTTTTTAAAATTAGTTTCAGTCCAAGCAGGATATGGAATAATTAGGAATTAATGATGAACAGAAAGTGAAAAGAGCAATCAAGAGGACAGCAAATAACGATTGACATTGCATTTAAATTTTTGCAGATTAAAGTTGGCTGGAAAGCATGGCATCAGTAGGGAGTTCCTCAAGCGAGAAGTGCGAGAAATGAAACTGTTAGAATAGAACTTATGGCTTCATCTGGCCAGCTCAATGGTCAACTGATATGATCTCGACGACAGTCTAGTACGGCGCTTAACTTCATGAAGTCTAAGTCCCAGAGCGATGACCTCATCTGAACAATTACCATGAAATTACTTAGAGAAAACACAAACAGAGGCAACATTACGGCGGTGGGAAAGAGACGAGCTGAGCCGCCAGATCAAGATCAGTAATATTGCTGATTCTCCTTTGGATTTCATCAAGGAACTCAAGGTAAAAAGCAGGGGCACCAGATCATATGTGGCAGCAATATTCTAAGCATGGACGAATGGTAGACTTATAGATATGTAAGATAGATTTTGCAGCTAAATGTTTTCCATAAAAGCTGTCTGCGTGCAATCTGTGGAGTTAAGCTTCAAGATAGGACATCTAACGTAGACCTGTTTAACAGGTGTAATATTGGAGGAATCGAGACTTTATCATACAGTCTCAGTTACGCTGGAATAGTCATGTCTTGAGAATGTCTGATGACAGGATACCCAAGATCCTAATGTACAGCCAGTTAGATCAGGGCTACAGAAATGTAGGACGCCCATGGCTAAGATACAAAGACAAGCTGAAGAGCAACTTGTCAGCTGTCAATATACCACATAATGCCCTTGAGCGCTTAGCTTTGGAGCAGGTAGAATGGAGATCAACGTGATTTAGTGGACTCAGCAATTTTCAATCTGCTTGTCTGAATCATCTTCAAGAAGCGAGAGCAAGATCTAAAAAGTCAGCCAATCTAACAGTGATCTCATCTCACAATTCTCACACCTGCTCCATATGTGGCCTCCTTTGTAAATCACTAGCGGGTCTTAAATGCCACTTTAGATTATCGCATAAACTTTCATAACTGAATCAATTAGCTGGCAGATCCTCATACGTCGAAACCAACGGGAGAGTCCATTATTATTATTATTATTATTATTATTATATATGTCTGTGTGTGTGAGAGAGAGAGAGAGAGAGATATTTGCTTTTCTAATCAATTATGCTTAATCTGATGAGTGGTGTATCTGTGTAACTTGTAATCGGTCATCAGGTAAGTTTTTTTTCAAATTGTCTTTATCAAATTTTTTTATATTGAGTACTTTCTTTACAGGGATCCGTTTACTGAAAGAATATCGTTTTATGGTTCCCAACGGCAACAATTAAAATGATTCGAACATATAATTAATTAGGAAGGAAACAGATATAATTATTTTAAATCATCTCAACGCCAAGGAAGACGCAGGGGGTTACTGGGAGCGGAAGCGAATGAGTAGACGTTTTTGAGAAGAAAGGGCAATAAAAAATATTATTTAAGAAGACAGAAGAAGGTGATTGACGTTGCATTTGTATCTTTACAGATTGTAGTTGGCAGGGAAGCAAGAAATCGGAAGAAACATCCACGGGTGAGAAGTGCGAGAAAAGAAACCATTACGAGGGTAAGAAAAATCATCACTTCTTTCGCTGTAATATATCTTTATGTTTGTCTTCTGCTCATGCGTTCTTGTAGTTTGTACTATTGTGATCACGTCATGAAAGTTTTCCTTCTGCTACAGTGTAAACGTGGCCGCTACGCTAGTAGTGTGCATGAAGGAGAAAAAAAGAACTATAATCCGATCAATTTTCCACTTGCTAATCTTCTAGTCAGTAGTGGAGGTTAACGGGCGTCCGGCTTCTTTTTCGTGCCTCACGCTTGTCAGGCCACTTTTAAAATTCTCGATCGACTCAAACAAACTTCCTCCTTGGTGCACACTGTTTGCGAGGTGGTCATGTGTACACTGTAGCAAAAGCAAGGAATCTGCTGCGATTACACTCAAACTTGATCCCGTGACCACAATATTATCAACCATAAGCATGGGACAATAAAGATATATTTTGGTGAAAGTGTGGATACATTTTGTATACGTAAAATAGAAAGTAAGGTTATATTTCGCTATTTCAGCAATGAAACAACGAGACTTAAGAACCAATCTAGTAGTATGTTTAATTTTATTTTAAATCGCTAAAAAACTATGGACTTATGGAGCCTAAATTCCTGAAAAAAAGTCCTTTAAGAGAAAGATTTTATACATTTCTACCGAAATGTTCAGTCAAGGAATGAAGAAGGTTTCCTGAATGTAAATGCTGATTCTCACCAGTAACATGTAAACGCGTAAAATTTTAGCAATTAATATCTATTTAGCTCCTCATATTTTGGAATTGGTACAGAAATATAAAAATCTTTTTCAGTTTCAATGAACAAACGAATAAGAGAATAACAGAATAGGGGAAAGAATGAGAATATAAAAAAAACACAATAAATAGATGGAGCTATAGATTATTGAAATAACCTCAGACAATCATGATAAATTCATCTCGTCTATGATTTTCCCTCCCAGCACTAAATGTAAATATGATCAGCTATGTTTGATATCATTGTTTCTTATGTAGATGAGCATGCTGATCCAAAATATTCTCAGTGTTATTAAATATGATCCTCTGCACTTTGAACGAATATATATATATATATATATATATATATATATATATATATATTTATATACGGAAGCTGAGTGGCATGGCACGTCAGATCAAGTAACGTTTCCGTATAAGACAAAGGTTCGATTCCTGTCGGAGAACGCATATATTCTCCGAATTTTCTCGAACATTCAAGTCGGTTAATGTAATTAATAATGTTTATTTAAAAAACATACCATTTACTTAAATAAATTGTATCTATTAAGAATAACGAAGAAACAGTGTATATATATATATATATATATATATATATATATATATATATATATATATATACAGTATATATATATATATATATATATATATATATATATATATATATATATATATATATATATATATATATATATATATATAGACTTGTGCTATTAATATTATTAGACTTGTGCTATTAATATTATTCAGAATTTTAATTACACTACATGAGAGAAAAAATAACCTTGAGTATTGACAATTGGCATACACTCAACGAACCTACGCGCATGTGCACAAACTTTCTCGAGATTCAGTTTCCGGTACAAACCGACCCACGCACATCTCGTCTACAGTCACATTCTCTCAGACTTGCCGTCGCTTCCCCCTGTCTTTTCTACGGATACTTTCACGGTAACTGCTCCAACAAGCTACTTTTGCTGGTTCCCAAACTGCATGAATTTAAGCGTGCTACTAGGCTGGCATCTCAGTCCCACCTTTTCAATGTCGAAACGGTTAAAATTTGCCATTTCTTCTACTCCAATAGCTTCATGTCTCGCACATCCCGTCTGTGGGACACCTTTCCCCTTAATTGTTTCCCTGATAACTATAATCTCCAATTATTCAAATGCAATGTCAATCGACATCTTCAGATTCATCGATCTAATTCCTCCATCCTTCACTTCATCTTTTCCTCTTTCACGACTCTTTACACTTGCTCCCACTCTCTGCTAGAGGTATTTCCGCCTTGCTTAAAAAAAACCCACAGAGGCAATAATTGCGAATACAAGGTGCTGGACGTATGGATTGTCAGTTGGTGTAATGGATCATGACATGGATTTGGATCTCGTAGAGCCGGTTTTCCATTCAGGTCGAATTTGTTATATTCGCGAACAATTACCTTTGGGAAAGGCATGAGTTCACCTCTTCTCACAGTCCTGGCGGTGGGTTAAATATGAGGACTTGCATCTGTAAAGCAATAATATTCTTACAAACTGTCGGCATTTTCTGGCTTTAAATAACGTGCAAAATGTGGATAAGCCGTAAAAAAACGAATGAATAACATACACAGATATACGCACAAGCTTTTTGCAATTTCTGAATTTTGCATATACGTAATTTATCTTATATGTTTCTCCCCCTATAGGTGTGTACGACTGAGTAAATAATTAGAAACACCCTTACATTTAGAACCTCCCATAACTGAGTAAATAATTAGAAACCCCCTAACATTTATAACCCCCCCCATAACTGAGTAAATAATTAGAAACCCCCTAACATTTATAACCTCCCACAACTGATTAATAATTAGAAACTCCCTAACATTTATAACTGCCCATAACTGAGTAAATAATTAGAAACTCCCTAACATTTATAACCCCCCATAACTGAGTAAATAATAAGAAACTCCCTAACATTTATAACTGCCCATAACTGAGTAAATAATTAGAAACTCCCTAACATTTATAACCCCCCATAACTGAGTAAATGATTAGAAACTCCCTAACATTTATAACCCCCCCATAACTGAGTAAGTAATAAGAAACTCCCTAACATTTATAACCCCCCATAACTGAGTAAATAATTAGAAACTCCCTAACATATATAACCGCCCATAACTGAGTAAATAATTAGAAACCCCCTAACATATATAACCTCCCATAACTGAATAAATAATTAGAAACTCCCTAACATTTATAACCTCCCATAACTGAGTAAATAATTAGAAACCTCTAACATTTATAACCCCGCATAACTGAGTAAATAATTAGAAACTCCCTAACATTTATAACCTCCCATAACTGAATAAATAATTAGAAACCCC